TTTTAAGGTCGAGGGCAGAATCTAGAATTTTCAGAACACGTAGAGTCGGAGAATGATCATTCAAACTATAGTGGTACTGAAGTACCGTACCCGAAGGCACCATTTCATTCAAACGTTTAACGAAAAATCATAATTTGAAAAAGAAAATAACACTTGCACCTCTACCTACCTTCGTTTGACGCATTTGAATTGATGAAGTTGGACGTAAATATTGTTTCCCAAATGCGACCAATGCTCTTTTCTCTCTTTTAATAAAAATATGCCTCACTTTTTCTTTCTCTTGCTTGGAACGTTTTGGTTCAAAGTGCATGTGTTTCAATGTATATATTACATATATATTTATATATTGGAAAGTATATAAAAAATTGGAATTGAAAAAGGGGTGGACGGTTGCCTTCCCAAAAGGAATTTGATTGGTTGATTTTTAGGTTTCATTCCAAGTTTTCAAATATATGGAAACTATAGAATCCAAATTTCCAAGAGTATTGAAACTATGAAAAAGTGTGTGTTTGGAAAAAAATTAAATGATTTGTTTATCTACCAATAATGAAATATATTCCTAGGTATAATATATTGTCCTTGGTTTATACAACTTATTAAACTGGCAAACTAAATGAACACCATAGATTCCCAATTAAAACTTAATAGACTCTATTTTTCTTATAGTTCGGTCATAACGTATACGCGAATCTAGTCTTAAACAAATAAAATTTTACCATAAGGTCAATATTAAATTCCGTCCTACTTAGAAAACATGTCGAGCGTAAGGTTCGTCTATGGGCTAGTCTCGTGGTGCTAGATCGTCACAAATAAAAAAAAAAGCCTAATTTCATTTTTATTTCTCAGGTTCCTACATATTGATTAGCACTTGCTGAGCCTAGTCCAAAGGCTCCTATTGAGACCGAATCCCAGGTCTCTCATTCACCACAGATGTCAGGTATCGACGGTACATTGAGCGGCCCGAAGGCTAAGTACATGTTGATCAACCACTTCAAAAAGACCCATGGCATCAAGATGGGAGCTTCCACGAAGGATGCCATTGATGACCTAGTTGGCAAGCTCTTCAACGAAAAATCATCACCTAGCCCTACCATCATGCTTAGACAGGATAAGGTGGATGCTCAAATTCAAAGTGACATGGATGGCATGGGTTTCGGAGATTGTGGCGAGAATATTAAGGCAATCGTACCTTCAATTAGCATGTCACTCTCACATGTGAATAGCATCATGAGATCAGATGCACCTGTTTTTTGCCTGACATTCAGTATACCATTGCTCTTACAGGAATTTTCACCTAGACAGGCCCCTTCCCCCAGGAGGGACCCCTCTCCAGTAAGCAAGCCTGATTATGCAAACTACTGCGATTCGAAAATATTTCAGACCAGACGCATGACTCGGTCAATGTCTATATACTACCACCCGAAGATTTATCCTCGGGAGTTCCCTTGAGTAATCTTCATTAGTTTTGGTTCATGTTTCATTTATTGTCATCTACATTTCATTTGAGATATTTGTAATTTTTTCACTTACTGGAGGTCAGGTCTATGCCTCTCTCCTTTATGTGTATTCTCATTTTTATGTTATAAAATAAGCCATACTAGTGGTATTTGCTTAAAAAAAATCCATTTATACACATCATCAATATTCCACTACCGTTGTTTTTAATCCCATTTTGGTTAATGCCAATCACCATTGTCATTTTGGAACTGAAAAACAAAAATATCTTACAACCTCTAAAGCTACGTTTTCTCTCTCAAAATATTATATCTATAAATAAAATTTTTTTGCTCTTTCCCATAGATACAAGGAACTTTGAATCTGAAAATTTTCTAAAGAAGGGGCAAAGAGTATGCTGGATTTTATTACATATTGAATGCAAAAGGATATTCAAACCCCAAGTATTTAAGGTAGGGATGTTTTCAATACTTTTGCAAATGGAGTAAAAAATTGTTGTTTTCGATTTGCATTAACGTGTTATTATGTTACTCATGAGAGAATGGAAGCACCTTGGCGTTTCAACTAAGAGATGAAGAGAAAGCACCCTTGGTGTTTCAACTAAGAGATGAATTTTGATTCATGAGAAGGGGTTGTTAAAACCTAAGAGTATACGGACTGCTTGATCACCGGTTCGCTTTGAAATTAACGGTGACACAAATAACCAAAGATTGCAATTCTAGATAACATAATTTTTTTTTATCAATTTACTTAAGTGTTTCCTGCTAAGTATTACTTGTGGTGCTCATTCCTACTAAATTTACAAGTTAGTTGAAGGCATGGCAGTGGTTTGGCATGGTGGCAAGTGCTCAGCGATTTGAAATACTCTCAACTTTCTAGAAAAAAATTTCAGTTATGTAAACCTCTTATGAACATTTAGATGGCACTTTTAAAATCTTTAATTTTCTGCTTCATCTAGTTTAATATACATTTCATGTCAGCCACAATTTGGAAATGTTGGAATGACTATGCATAAAATTTATTTATTGCTAGATTGAATTTCAGATTCAGTCCTTCTATTTGGAAATGGTATAATTTGGGCTATAATGCATGTTTTAGAGTGAAATAAATGGGGCTTGAAAGGTTAATAAGTCTTCTAATAGTGGCCTTTGGAATTTCCTTAAAATATTAACTAGAGAAAAAGTTATGTTCATTTTAGTAAACTGCATTGAGTTAGTTACAAATTTTTTGTCCAGCATAGTCATACAATATTTTCGTGCTTCAAACATTATCGTTGAGACCTCAATTTTTTTATATGTTGTACGTATTTGAATGTAAGTCTCTGTTAAAATTTTAAATTTTTTAGTTGGAGTTTGTTCGGCCAAACATATTTTTCTTTCCGCTGCCGTGAAATCGATAATTGTTGATTTTCCTCCAGATGTTTTCCAAAATCAAATTACACCATTATTTTCCAAGTCTCTATGGACAAATATCTCCCATTATATTTTTATATGTTTCAAATTTTAAAATTTTTTCATTTACAATTTATTTTGGTTAACATCAAAGAGCTCAAACAAAGAAGAAGATTTTTTTTTCAACACTTCGAGTTTCTAGAATTTGGGGGCGTTACATGAACTAATTAATGAATGGCCATGAGGGATCTTGATTTGATCCAATGGTTGAGGTTATGCACCTCTACCTATGAAAGGGGGCCTTTGTTTTCCTTTGAGGATTTTTTACTTTTGATTACGAAAATTGAAGCCATCCATCTTCTGAAAATACTTTCTAGCGAGGAGTATTCGAATATTCTGGCGACGTTTAACGATTTTGTGTGAATACTTTCTCTAGAAAACACCCATTCCAAATTTCATATATTTTTTCTACTATGGCATTTCATTTGAAATGAGTTTAAAACTTTGCAAGATTCAGTCAAATGAAGATATTAATATTGAACAAAAAGTTAATGAAGATAAAGGAATCAAGAGATTTTGTGAAGTTATTTTTGTTCTACACTATAAATCACATTTTAAAACTATTCTAGTGAAAATGATGCGGTGATTAACTCTTATACTAACGAAGATAATATTCAAGGGGTCAATACATCTGTCAATGATAGCGATGATGATCCAAATGATAATTGTGTGTTATCAATTATTTCTTCAAAAGATGCATTTCAAGCAGTCATAACCTTAAATAATTAATTTATATAAAATGAAAAAAAATACCAAATGTAGTATATGCATTACAAAAAATTAAGACTGAAGTTGAGTTTGGTTTAGGTACAAAGAAAAAGTAAGACCTTAGATGTATATTTCGAAAAAGAAATGAATTGAAGAAAATATTGTCAAATTAAGTTTGTTAATTTGTATTAGTACGAACTTTTATGAATTTAAGCATTTATTATTTTATATATTTCTTGGGCCTTCAAGGATCTAAAAAAAAAAAAAATTATTATCTTATGCGTTTAACGGGATTATTTATTTAGTACTTAGTGCACTAGCACAAGTTGAGATTGAAGAATTTTATTATTTAGACGAGATTATTAATTTATCGAATATTCATTTATCTAGATTTTTTTACTGTATAAAATTTGTTATGGAAAAGAAAACAAAAATGTGTAATAATAATTATTATTATTTTTTATAAGTTTCCAATCAGATGGACATTTATAGACATCAACACATAAATAAATAAAACAATTAAATGGATCGGGTCAAATTTTAAATATGCAACCCATTTTTAAGTCTATTAAGATTAAAAGTCTAATCAGCTCATTGGATTAAAGAAACCCATGAAAAAGACCCATTCTACTTGTTAAAATTCATAATTATATTTAATTTATTTTTATTAATTAAATGTATCTGGATGGTTACAAAGTGGTTACAAATCTCTCTATAAATAGGGCTAAAGGTCCATAAAAAAACACAAGTATAAAAGAAATTTCGAAATCAGAAGAAAAGAAGAAATACCAAATTTCTCAACAATTCAAGTTTTCAAAGTCCAAGATCATCAAAGTCTCCTTCAAATCAAAACAAATTCAAGTCTCGAAGTCCAATACAAGATCAAGTGGCAAACAAGTCAATTTCTCAACAATTCAAGTTTTCAAAGTCCAAGATCATCAAAGTCTCCTTCAAATCAAAACAAATTCAAGTCTCGAAGTCCAATACAAGATCAAGTGGCAAACAAGTCAATTTCTCAACAATTCAAGTTTTCAACAAACTTGAAGTCTAGGATTCAAACCACGTGCAGGCGCGGAGCCAGCACCCGGCGAGGGGGTGCGGCCGCTCGTGCTGGCTCCGCCGGAATCTACAAAGCCGTCGTGTAAGTACTTGCAGACTGCAGTTGCGCCATTGGAGCCTGGAGGAGAACTGGAGAAGAACTGAAGGGGAAGACGAAGCCTGAAGCAGCACAGCAGCCGGGTTTTAATTTTTTTGGTTGGGTTTGGCTGTTTGGGCTTAAGTATATTAATTTTTGGGCTATTGACTATTGTTATTTAATTTATTTAGCCCAAGCTGCAGCCCAACCCAAATGAATTTAGCCAACCCGGCAACCCGTACTCGGTACCCATGTCCCATAACCCATTTTATTTGCCCTTTTTCATTTCAATCGACCCTCCCAGTCGGCCAGCCCCAACTCCGTTTCCAGACTCCAAGCCAGCAGAAGACGAGAGGCAGGTCACTGAGTTCAGGCAGCAGGCACAGGCGCGCAGCTCCAAGAATTTCGAATTTTCCCCAAAATTACCGAACCCTTTTCCTCAATCTTCAGGTTCAGGCATCAAAATCTCGGACCGGTGAGTGATGATTCCTTCTTTCACTCTTAGTTATTTTTTTTTTTTTTTGGGTTTTGGACCTTTTGGTGTTGAACTGTTGAATGTTGAATTGTTGATGATGACTGTGCCGTGACTGCCGTCTGTGCGACTGTGCGTCTGTGCGAGTGTGCGAGTGGGACTGTGCCTATGTCGGCTGTGCGAGTCGATGCGACAGCTCGAGTCTGCGAGAGCGAGACAGTGAGAGTGAGACTGTGAGAGGCGAATGTGACAATGTCGATGGGAATCATAGGATGGGGTTCACTGGTTCAGGGGTTGGAAACTTGGAATTGTGAAGAATTGTGAATTGTGAATTTGTGAAGAATTTTCGATTTTGTGAATCTGTGATTTGTGAACTGTGAATTTGTGAAGAATTGTGAAGTATTGTGATTTGTGATTTTTGTGAATTTGTGAAGAATTTGTGAGTCTGTGATTTGTGATATGTGAATTTGTGAAGAATTTGTGAATCTGTGATTTGTGAACTGTGAAGTGATAAATGGAATTCTTGAATAGAAAAGTAAGAATTTGAAGACGGGAATAAAGAATTTTATAAAGAATTTGAAAACAAAAATGACACTCAGGATTAGAATTACCTTCTCATAAAGAATTTGACAACAATTTAATGGAATTTGATCTTTGCGATAAATAATGTATTACTCAAACATAAAGAATTTCTCCATAATGCTATAAATGGAACAAAAACATGAAATTAAATGTATGGTCTGGTTCAAGACTTCCAGTAAGAAACTTGTTGATATTAGGTTTCAATCCCCGTGTTTGATGATGAATAATTTATGTGAATTTATGTTTACGAAATTGTATTTGCGAATTGTGATTTATGATGAGTAATTTATGATTTGATGAGGGAATATGATATTAGGAATGATTATTGATTTGGGAATTTACGTTTAGGATGACATTTTGCAGATTATGGAACGATTTTTTCAACCAAAACGAAAGTCCATACCCAATTCTTCTACTTCTAGTTGTGGGTCTAGTCCCGCCACTGATTCTAGTCGAGCACAAGAGTTATTGAATAACACAAAGAAGTCTCGGGCTCAATTGAATGTGGATGATCTTGTATCTGATCCAGGGAAACGGCCCCCTATCGAATCATATGATCCTAAAATTAGAGATGTTGTTAGGATGGCATACTTGGAGAAGGGTCCTTGTCAACCATATGAACATGATTTCCCAAGAAGACCGATGGAGAATGATAATAGATGTTTTCGGAAAGAATGGTTCTCCGAATTTCATTGGTTGGAATACAGTATAGAAAAGGATGCGGCGTATTGTTTGCATTGCTACCTGTTCAAACCTGATAGAGGGAGTCAAGGGGGTGGACATATATTTACTAAGACCGGTTTTAGGAATTGGAAGCACAAAAAGACATTGAAAGATCATGTCGGTCTCTTTGATAGTTCTCATAATCAAGATTTTGCAAAGTGTACCAACTTGATGAATCAAAAGCAAAGTATCTCTTACGTTATTTCTAGCCAAAGTAGTAGTCAACAACAAAGTTATAGGACCAGGTTGACTGCGGTGCTAGATTGTACTAGACTCCTCTTAATGCAAGGATTGTCATTTCGTGGTCATGATGAATCGGAAGAGTCTCTTAATAGAGGAAATCCGATTGAGGTATTGAACTGGTATGCAGCTCGTTGTAAGGAAATTAAAGAAGTATTATTTAGTAATGCTCCTGGAAATGACCAAATGACTTCACCAACCATCCAAAAGGATTTGATTAATTGTTGTGCTGTAGAGACGACAAGGGCAATTATCAATGAGATTGGTGATTCTTTGTTTTCAATTTTAGTTGATGAGGCTCGCGATAATTCTATGAAAGAACAAATGGCAGTTGTTTTAAGGTTTGTTGATAAAAGTGGGCGAGTGAAGGAGCGTTTTTTGGGTATATCCCATGTCACTGATACTTGTGCCCAATCACTGAAGGATGCCATTAATGCAATATTTCCTACACATGGGTTGAGTATATCTAGTCTGAGAGGTCAAGGCTATGATGGAGCAAGTAATATGTCAGGTGAGTTCAATGGGTTGAAAGCTTTAATTCTTAGAGAGAACCCGCATGCTATGTATGTTCATTGCTTCGCTCACCAGCTTCAGTTAGCAATTGTATCTGTGGCACGTAGGAATTGTATGGTTGGTGATTTTTTGGACGTACTTGCTATTATTGTGAATTTGGTTGGTGCATCATGTAAGCGTGTAGATGCTCTTCGAACAAGTTATCAAGCTAATATTCTGGAGAAACTTAATACTGGGGAACTTATTGGTGGAAGTGGTCAGTTTCAAGAAATGAGTTTGGCACGCCCAGGTGATACTAGATGGGGCTCACATTTATTGACAGTTACTCGTTTCATTAATATGTTTAATGCTATTATAGATGTTCTTGAGAATATATCAGAAGATGCCGTACATTCAGATCAAAAATCTTTGGCCTTAAGACAAATGAACAATATGCAAGATTTTGAGTTTGTGTTTAGTCTTCACTTTATGTTTGAAATTCTTGCAATTACAGACGACCTTTCACAAGCCTTACAGAAAAAGGATCAGGATATTCAGAATGCTATGAGGTTATTGAATTTGTGTAAGTGTGCATTGCAGAACTTGAGAGAGAATGGTTGGGATACTTTATTCAGTAGGGTGATTGAGTTTTGTGTTGATAGACATATTTTAGTGCCTAATATGGAGGATATTGTAGTGGTGAAAGGTCGACCTAGGCGTGTAGCTCAACAGGTGACTTATTTTCATCGCTTTTATGTTGATTTATATTGTCATGTGATAGACTCAATCTTGCAAGAGTTGAATGATCGATTTCCAGAAACAACTACTGAGCTTTTTACTTGCATTTCATGTTTAAGTCCAAGAGATTCATTTGCAGCTTTTGATAAGGATAAATTGCTACGTTTTGCTCAGTTCTATCCTTTGGACTTCAATAGTGAAGAACTTTTATTACTTAGACCTCAACTTGATAAGTTTCTTTTGCTTGTGAGAATGGACGAAGCTTTCTTTAATCTCAATAGTATATCCTGGGTAGCTCAGAAGTTGATTGAAACTAGAAGTTCCTGTTATTTTCCATTGGATTATAGGTTGCTCACCTTGGCTTTGATATTACCTGTGGCAACTGCAAGTGTTGAAAGGGTATTTTCTGCTATGAATCTAATCAAGAGTGATTTGCGCAACAAAATGGGTGATATCTGGTTGAATGACAATTTGGTGGTTTACGTGGAGAAAGCTATTTTTAAACAAATTGAGAATGAGGCAATATTGCAACGTTTTCAAATTATGAGACCCCGTAGAATACAGTTGTCTAAGTTTACAGTTACAGAGTAACTGAGTAAGGTTGTATCGTATTTTTTTTTTTTTTTACTATTTTGGGTTGTATCGAAGTATATTTTCATATGTATACGATTTTGACGTTTTAGTTCATTTACATATATATTGAAGAACTTTTAATATTATGTAACCAAATTTTAATAAACGATCGAACAATTACGATTGTCGATAGTCAACAATCGTCGGTCAACGGTCAAACCACCCTAGCTGAACTTGAATCCTGGATTCGCCACTGACCACGTGACCCATCGTCTTCAAACTCTCATATCATTAATCATTGGATATTGCAGTCGGTTGAAGCCAGTTGTTGTACAAGCTTTGATTTTTCCTCAACTTCGCTTTTCAACTTGGACGCACATGAAGCCAGTTCTTGTTCAAGCTTTGATTTTTCCTCAACTTCGCTTCTCAACTTGGACTCACATGAAGCCAGTTCTTGTTCAAGCTTTGATTTTTCCTCAACTTCGCTTCTCAACTTGGACGTACATGAAGCCAGTTCTTGTTCAAGCTTTGATTTTTCCTCAACTTCGCTTCTCAACTTGGACGTACATGAAGCCAGTTCTTGTTCAAGCTTTGATTTTTCCTCAACTTCGCTTTTCAACTTGGAAGTACATGAAGCCAGTTCTTGTTTAAGCTTTGATTTTTCTTCAACTTCTCTTTTCAACTGTGCTTCTGCATCTAAAATGCGGGCTTCGGCTGCTAATTGAAGTTCAACGGCTCTTGACTGCTGCTTTCTTAATTCAGTGATAGTGCTCGTGTGAGAAGCAAGCTGCTGATCAGAGACTTTCTTCTCAGAAAGCGCCAAATTCAACTTTTCCTGTAACTGCTTCTCGGTTGACTTGAGCTTCTCAGTAACTTCATTTTCTCTCCTTCGTGCAGCCTTGAGGTCATTTTCGATGCTCTCTAATTTCTGTTGGGAAGTACTCAATTCATGCCTGAGATTTTTGGCTTCAGATAGCTTCTCATTTGCGGTTTTCAACGTGTCTTTTAAATTTCTGTTCTCCTCTGTGGTAATATTCAAGTGCTCGTGCAGTTCTTTTTCCTTTTCAGTGGCGGCCTGTAATGCAACCTCTAGGCTTGAATTTTTCACTTGAACAGCCTCAAGTTGTCTTTCAAGTTCAGAAACCTTCAGAGTGTTTTTCAAGAATTCTGCCTCTGCAGCCCCACGTTGCTCTTCAAGTTCCTTCATCCTATATTTTTCTGTTTCAAGAAGTAACTCTAATTCGCTCACTTTTTTACCAGCCTCAACTGCCTTAGCATGTGATATCTGCTTTAGATCCTCAAGTTCGACGCTGCGCCGGTGAATTGTATTGGCTCGTCCTTCATTCTCGGCACATTTGTCCATGGCATTTTTCAGTTCTAGCTCAAGGTCGGAATACCGAGCAGTTGATGTTCCCAATTCTTCTGTCAATTCATTGATGCTAGCTTCCTTTGATGCTAGCCTTTGCTCCACTTCTTGCACCTGTGATTTCGAAAGCTCCAACTCCCCTTGAGCTGTAGATAATTCGGCAGCGGTACTCTTCAGTGCCTCTTCTACTTTCTGATTTTCTAAAATTTTCTTATACAAGCTTTTCAGTCCTAGTTTTTCATCTGGCGTGGAGCTTGATTCGGCCGTGAAGGTACGACCCTTTGCATCAAAGGACTCCTCTATTTTAATGAATTCACCATCAAAGGCTGCTTCAATGTCCACTACTTTCACCTGAAATGAAATTAACAAAGAAACACTAGTTCAAAGAGAACTGCAAGAAGACGCTTTATCGATAGAAATGCTTAGTACAATATCATACAGGTTGATACAACAAAAGAAACCTGAGACCATGAATTCATTAGCTGCTCCAACTAATATTGTATTTCGGCTTAAAAAATTGGGACATTCCATTTTTTGAACCAATACTTTCTTGAAATAATATTTAAGCAAATAATAATAAGCATCTTGATCACGGATATTATTATAAATGGAGTACTTGAGTTGTTACGTATAGATGGTTATTATTGTTATTTTTTTCCTAAAGTGATCAAAGCTAATTGTCCATGACTAATAAGTTAAGTTGAATACTTTATTTTGATAAGGTCATATTATCTTTATTAAAGTTTATATAGACTTTAATAAAGAAAATGATAATAATAAATATTAATATTCGACAGGATTAAGTAACATTCAATACTATCATGATTATAGAAAATTGAATGTCATGACTACAAGGATTAGAGTCTCGTGCCCAAATCGTTATACTGTATACATTGTTTGTTTTGGGAGAGTCTGAGCACATCTTACTTTCTAAGGTTCTTTGTTGCATTTTCAAAATTCCAACCTAAGTACTCTATCTTATGAGTCAATTTAAGTCTCTCATATGGCAGTAATCTTAGATTCGAGTCATATGAGGACGCAACAGAAAGTCATGAGGGGTAAGATATGTCAACCTTTTCGAAAGTAAACAGTACGCATGATATAACGATTTGGGCACAAGACTAAATCATTACAAAAATGCGCATTTTTGTAACTATCTAAGCCTCGTTCTCGATCGTTAACTTATGTACTATTTGCTCTAAAAGAGATTGAGCTCATCTTATCCCTCATGATTTTTTGTCTCTCTCAGGATTCGAACCCAATATATTTGTCTTATGAGAGATTTAAGATGTATTCTATTGGGGTAAGTTAAAGTCAGACAAGAGATTCGAGTTATTATAAAAATGCACATTTTTTATTTTTATTTTTGTAATGAAACTACTATATTCAAGCTACTAATGTGTTGTCCATTATAGGAGAGTCTGAATCCATCTTATTCCTCAAGGCTTTCTATCGTATCCCCAAGATTTGAATTCAAGAACGCTCTGCCTTATGATAGATTTAACTTGAATCATATACCAATTGGACTTTTTATAACGACCCAAGTATCGTGCCTAGTTAGAAATTTACATATTATCTATTTTGGGAGGGTCTCAGTCCATTTTATCATTCACTGCTTTCTGTCATGTCCCTCATATTTCAACTTTAGTCTTTTATGAGGCAACGGTCTTGGTTTCGAATTTTAAGGGATGTGACAGAAAGTCATGAGGGGTCAAATGAGTTTAGGCTTTCTTAGAGCGGATAATACATAAGTTAATAGTCACGCTCGGGTCATTATCGGAATTCAACTTCAATCTCGCATAAGATAGAGGATTTAAGTTTGAATTCTATGGGACACGACATAGACCCATGAGGGGTAAGATGCGCTCAGACTCTCCTACAGCGAATAGTATGTAAGTTAACGGTTAGGTACAAGGCTTGGTCATTACGAGACAAGCTTGGTCGTTTTGAGACAATCAAACATACTTCTAAATCTTGAAGGAATTGTGAACGTTAATTACTAATTCGAGTTCCTTGAGGTAACAAAGAGTGAGATTAAATATATAGCCTCTGTTTGGTGGAGATAAAAATTAGATTGTTAATAAATTTTGATAAATGTTGATGAAATTGATGTTTAAAAGTTGCGGGTTCTATAAAATATATGATTACAATTACTTATTGACTCTGACATAAATTAAAACCTGGATTAAAGAATTTAATTTGTATCAAACTGGGGCATAATCAATAACGAGTTACTCTAGTATTTATAATGGAACGTCTGATATTATATAAAAAATAAAAGTGACTGATTATAAGAGTCACTTATAATTATTTTATCAACTGAGAGAGACAAATTGTTAATGACATGTCAATAGGAATTAATTATTTAAAAGCTTCAATTGTTTCAATTAATTTAAAAATATGATTTCGATCGTTAGTTGATAGAGTCGAAACTAATTGATTAATCTTAAACAGTCAAGAAATGACTGTTACAAGAATAAATTAATTGAAGCTTAAATTAACTGTGTCCACTCAAGTCCCTTCGTTAGTTTCCAAAAGAGTTATAATTTAACGAGGATTACACAATTAATATCTAGAATTAATATAAACACATTACGTAATATTTTCATTACTAGAATGATTACAATGAATGTAGACATCCATATGTCCATATACATCGTTTTAGAAAACGGACATGTTGTGATAAAAGGAGACTTGTGGGGGGAGAAAAAGGATATGTGACTTCAAACTTTTCCTACTTTTTAACTGCACATTTTTAAAAAATTATTATTGCGAAATTCATTTATTCCAAAAAAAGGCCTAGACATGGATCATGATTGATAAAAATTATTCATTCATTAGTGCCTACACATTAAATAGAGATAATAAAAAAATAAAAAAAAATAAAAAATTTGTAGTATTCTTGAAGTTCTTGAAAGCATTGAAGAAGATTTGAGATACTATATTGTGCTTATTGCAAGGGATTTAAAGTATTCTTCGGGGGAACATACTAAATATTTGTGTGTTTAATTAGGTTAAATACATATTATAAACTTCTAGTTGTTATGTGATAAGTGTGTGTTGTACAACTATTTGAGCCGTTAAATGAGATTAATTGTCATGAATTTTAATGAATTGTGACTTAATTAAGTATTTATTTAATTTGTAAGGTAAAACTCAATGCAAAATGATGAAATTGGACAAAAGTAGCGAAAGGGGTTTTAAAGTTTGAGGATCAAAGCTCAAATATTCAATTAATTCAGACTACAAAACGCTGACTAGAGATCAGTGATTTGATGTAATTGGAAGTCAAATGAGTAAAATATTGTCAAAATATTTTTCACAAATCAATTTCTAGTCGCACAAGTTATGCTCTAGATTTTCAGCCTTAGATTGAAATTTCTTTTTTGTATAATAAATATTCGAAATAGAAATATCATATTTTTAGAATAATTGTAGCCCCTTGAGTTAGATTTCTAATGTACTTTAAATTGCCTCATTTGATATCGGACGAGAAATATATGACAAAAGTGTTGGCAACTTCTCAGATCTACCTAACCCCAAGCATAGAGGTCATCCTTTCACACAACCTGAGGCACATGAACAACTCCACGCATGGGCAAAATTCGGCAAAGTAGGAATCAATTTCCTTATTTCAATACAACTCTTCCGTAAACCAATTGTCGGGAGTTTCTTTACCTAATTTTGCCTCCTATAGATATAGAACTTGAACAAAGCATTAGGGGATCTTTCTTTAGCCTCTTAATACACATTCATATCACAAAATTCATCAAGAACAAGAGGCCTAATCACAATTTTGAGAGAGAAGATCAAGCAAGCAAGAAATTGAAGACACTTTGTTAGCTCTCCTATTTATAATTTGTTTTATCTGTAACCAAAATTTAGGTTATTTGAGTTGTAATTAAAGTTAAATAATTGGGGGTTGATAGAATAGGTATTGAAGGAGTTCAAGATGTTCAAGAAGATTACAAATGATTAATGGAATACAATTTGAAGTTTAAAGAGTGTCAAAAATTAGTAGAAGTTATGTTTCAAATTCTCATTCATAACTTGCAACAAATTTACATAGAAAATATTCGAATTTGAGAATTCCATTCTAGAAGAATTGTATCCTTTTGAGTTACTTTCCAACGCATTTTGAATAATCTCAATCAGACATCGGGAAAGAAACTTATGATAAAAATACCGACGACTGTTAAGACGGTGCTCACTGGCCGCCCACTTGGCGCTCAAGCAATGGTTCGATTCCAATAACTTCCAGTTTGTTTTAAACAGGATTTTTCACTCCTAATCAATCCAAAACAACTCTAGTATAAATATATAACCATATGTCCCAAAATGTGTTGAATCGTATTTATTCCGTAGAGATAAATTCTTTGATGATCCAAAACATTCATTGATTCCAAAATTCAACCACCACATATTATTTGATCCAAAAATTCTTCCAAAACATATTTTGTTGATCAAGTCATATTGCTTCATATAAAACCACAAGATCAAAACACAGAAGTCATTTGATCAAACACCAAACTATTTAATCCATCGGAGATAACCAATACCAAGGATTGGGAGCTGGTGCAAAGACATGCAATCTAGGAGAGCTAAGGTAACTATTAGGGGTTAAGAGCTGGTGTGAGGAGCAGGGCTAAGGTGATATTCCAAGAGCAGGGATCTAGTGTGAGGAGCACACTGTCCAGTAGGATTAAAGGTGACTACAGGAAAATAAGGTCTGGGGACTAAGGATTAGTCGGGTCTGAACCATACTGTAAGTTGTTTCGTTTATAGTGGATTATTGCTTGGCAAAGTGCCTGGAGTTTTTGATTCTTTGCGAAGGGTTTTCTCCATGATTAATTTGGTGTTCTTTATTGCTTTCATATTACAAATTGTAGTAATTCAACATATGATTAATTGACGTGATTGATTAACCATCTAGAAATAATTAAAAAGTGATTTGTTACTTTTACTTTTGCTGTACACGTTCTAAGGTCTAAATATTATATGAATTGATTAATAATCTTGAAAAGGTGAACTTCCACAATTTACACAAGAATTGATGTCGTTGATTCAAGATCAAAACCAAAATATTGATTCTCCATCAAGATTCTTCTATTATTCATACACACTTGCATAGTTACAAAAAATAAAATTTACCTTAGGTGAATTGATGATATTTATCTCGTCCTGCTCAGCAATATTAACCACTGGTATTGCATCACTTGTCAATGTTTCTTTTTCCATGGCTGAACGAATTGTTCCTTACGAGAGTTCTGGAGTTTCGGACAAACAGAATGAAAAATGAGATTCGGATAACAATGTGACAAGAAACTTTGAAGTTTTATGCAAATGGAATTGATTTTAGTGCTCGATTAAATGCTTCAAACCTAATTGTACATGTTTGACTAACTGTTAAAAATTTAATTACCTAAATAATACTTTTGTTGATCGAAAATAATAGTAAATACATTAATATATAATATATTAAATATCACATCAAGTGAGAATAATTTTTTGGACAACTTTAATCCTACACAATTCAATTATTTCAATAATACTTTACTTTTCATTTTTCAATTTGTAATAAATACTACAAAATCTTTGTTATGTGTGAATTTCATAATAATAATTCTCAATTAATTAACATTCACATTAATCCAGACTTAATGAATCTCAATCTAAATAAATCTAGAGTTATTATGGTTGAATTTATTTCTATTTATGTATCTAAAAATTTTAATAGGTGTTTAATTTATTTTATTTTTTTTTTAGTTCGTTTGAAACTTATCAAATCCTCCTAACAAATTGGTATCAAATATTACTTTTATAGCATTTATAAAGTATTTCAGAAAGACATACAATACATGTTCAACTCTGACTAATTATTTCACAAGTAACTTCGGTCCCATTCTTACATTAAATAATTTTTAACTGATAAATACAACAAATAGCTCCCCAATTGTTGTTCAAGTCTTAAATTTTAGAAAATATAAATTGAAATTTTCAAGCGTAATGCTATTTAGCAGTATTCTAAGTAGTGGTAATTAGACCCTAAATTAATGATTCATACCATCAAAACTGTTGGATATTGGTTAAATAAATCGAGAATTGAAAATCGATTAAAGTGACTTCGTATCGACTTCGGCCAAATACTCAAAAGCTCAACTCAATCTGCTTAGGCAAAATTGTTTGCCACTTCGCCGCTTCGGGGCGCACAAACGGGGATCGACCTTTTCATAAAGGTGCATAGACACCTTTTCATAAAGGTGCATTGTTTGGAAAGGGTGCATGGTTTGGCCTCAACCATTTCGTCCACACCCTTTCATGGTCTATAAATAGGACCCTTTGGGTGTCCTATTCCTCACAATTTGATATGCAAAACATTTCTCATCCTCTCTTCTATCCAAAATCAAAATCATTTCATTTATTTTGATTTTTCCTTCATTTCATCCTTGGAGTACATAAGCCTAAATTTGGTTCGTTGTACTTGTGTTTTGGAGTGCTACAAACACAAGTGTAGCCTTTGTATCTTGGGAGTCGATTGCCGAAATCCGTAGGCACCGTTGCGGGGCAAATTCGACTTAAGGACAAAGAGTCCAACTCTTGCCTCGGCTTTGTCCCTACTTTCTTCTTCTTCTTGTTTGTGTCTTCTTTGCCGTTACTCTGTCCAATTTTCGGCACGAATTTACAAACCATCATTATACTTATTTTGGCATCACTATTCACAAAATTCCTCCAAGAAAAACTTCTATGGTTTTGTTGATCTATTGGGCAAACATTGAATTTACGAGCCTTTGGTATGTTGCTTTAGCATTCTTGAGACCAAACAGCATCCTTTTGTAGCAACATAGGCATCGGTCGATTATGAATAAGGGGTGCTCTTAATCAGGTTTGTGCATGAAAATTTAATTATAGCCGAAATAGACATCCATGAAGCTAAGGAGCTTATGCCCGGCTATAGCGTTGACCATTTGATCAATCCTTGGCAATGAGAAACTATCCTTAGGAAAAGCTTTTTTGAGGTCGGTAAAATCTATACAAAGTCTCCAATCTCCATTGATCTTCTTTACAGAACTGGATTGGCAACCCATTTGGGATAACTCGCCTTTTTGATAAATCTGCTGCCTCCACTTCTTTAAGTAGGGCTTCATATCTTTCGACATTGACTGCTCTCTGTCTTTTCTGTTTTGGTTAGATTATAGGATCTACATTGAGCCTGTGAGGAACAATCTTTGGATCGATCCCCTCCATATCCTTATTGCTCTAGGCGAACACGTCCAAGTTATTGCTAAGGAATTTTATAGGTTCAGACCTGATGGTTGTTGCAGTTTGTGTCCAATTCGCAGCTCTTTCGGGGATATATTCCAAGCTGACCTAGTTCCTCAACGGGTTCTACACCTTTGTCTTTTAGCTTAATTCTGGGATCCAATGAGCTGAGGTTAGGCTCTACCAGGTAGGCCATATTTACGCCATACTGGATTGAGATATGGTGAACTCTAATTTTTGAATGGTAGTGAATAAAATGACATTCTTCAACAGCTTATTTATTTTCTTTGATCTCTCCTGACCATAGGAAGTGGATAATTAGTAGTGATACACCGACGAAATGGCCTTCAAGTCGAACAGTAAAGCCTGTCCCATGAGTGGATCATAAGGTGAGGCAAATTCGAACACTATAAACTCAGTATCGACGTGAGCTCAGTGGAAAACGTTGCCGACCTTGACAGGGAGCTTGATTTGTCGTTTTGCCATAGTTGAGGCTCCATTTTTATTCGAGAACTATATTTGGGTATGGGTTGCAAAAAATGAAGTGGAATTCCCATCTATTTTAGTGTGTTGATGTACAAAATGGTGAGAGAGGTGCAGTATCAACCAAAACCCAGGGAATGATTACACCGGCTATCAATATGTCCACTATTAGAACACCTATGGAAGGACGTGAGTTTGTTTCCTTGGCTTTGGCTGCTGGGCAACTATTCTCAGGTCTTCCGTAATGTTTATGAGTAATCCTTATCTTAATCAGGTCAGCTAAGATTTGAGTTGTTAATGGATTGGATTTTGATCCAAATTCGATTAAATTAATGGGGATGGATTTAGGGTCTCAATCTGATAACCGATCAAGATCCGAATCTGATAATCCATTTACTAATTGAAGCAAATATAGATATAGGTCAATCCGATGTGATAATAATCTAATCCAATTTATTGTAATAACATAATATATTCTATATATTATAGTATAATTTATTACACATAATTTTTTCCATTTTGAAACTTTTATTATACTTTACATATAATTTTCAAATAATAAATAATATTAGATAACAGTATAATATTGTTAATTGAAAATTTTGAAGAGATTTAATTTTTTCATTAATTAAAATAAGATGAAAATAATAATTAATTTATTTTATAAATTAAACAACCAAAGGAGCCAACGATTGGAGTTACTTTCATTATTCACAACTTCTAACTTCCCACATTTGATACTCACTAGAATATCATAAAATTTACAATCTATGAATATGTGGACCAAGAATTGGATAAAAAGCTATCTATATCTTTTAATTTTAAGGATTAGAAGTTGACTAATAAATTTTTTTATTATTATAAATTTTAGATAGGGTTATCGGATCGGATATCCGATAATATAACAAATTGGATATGGATTTAATAATCAAATATTTGTCGGATTACTGGATCGGATTAGAGAATTATTCTTAACGGATCGAATTTGGGAAGATCCAATCTATTTACAACCTTAGCTGAGATGAGTTTTTCCAACCGATCCTTGGATTTGTCGTACTACCGTTTGCAGAACATGTGTACCCCTGAGCTAGGCAGGTTAATGTTGCAGATCAAACGTCAGCTTGATCTTCGCGAACTACATCTACTCATCGAGTATGGGTCGTCCTAAGATAGCATTTAAATTGGATGGTAGTTCTACCACCACAAAATCAGCCATGATTCTTCTCTGGACGGGTATTCCACAAAATCACCCCAAAGTCTTTGCCTTAACATAGGTCAACAGATGTTATATTTATTTTTAATATTATTTAGAGGAGAATAAAAAAGTCTTATAACCTTTTTAATAAAATTATGATTATAATATGTTCTTTAGATAAAATTATATATTATTAAAGACACAAATATAGCAAAGTGGACTTTCACTTGAAAAAAGATTCTCTTATAATAAAGAAATAAAAAGCAAAAATAAAGCACGAAACTTTATTATGCTTTATTTCCCTTCTGTTGATATTACTTTCTAGCGATATGAGTCTTTAGGTTGAGCTTAGCCCCATCTGAATGGAATAAACAATTATGATCGACTAACATTATTGTTGACCTTGGATTTTACACCTCCAACTTGGCTAGCTTCACTCACGTTTAGTAATGTAGCTCCTAAACAATTGGACAAATTGTTAAGGGCACATGATCCTCTTCAGTGAGGGAGGGGCTTAGAACGCTCTGACTATCAAGTTAGTTGATGGTAGAAATATATTGGATGTGGGACATGCTTGATACATGAGCTACGAAAGTGTTCAGACACCTATGCTAGTGTATAGATGTGTAAAAATATGAGAGAGAGAGAGAGAGAGAGAGATCAAAATTACGTTCGAGTGCGTAAATTTTCATTACTTTCAAATGACACTAAGTATGAGCTTTTATAGTAGAAGAGGTGGAATACTGACCGTTTGATGGAAAGATATGTGGCCTTATCAGATGTTAGAGGTGTTTCTTGCTAGGTATCAATCTGTTAGTCATAGGCTAACGAACATTTAGCGTTTTCGAAAAGTGGCCACCCAAGTACCTAGCCCTGAGCTCTAAAACATAGATTGGTGATTTGATCTTTATGCATGTGCTATAGAGATGTTACATCAATTAATTGTATGAAATTCTTGCACAAATGATCTCTTGAAAGAGGTGAAGTGGTAGATGCCTTTTGTCATTAAGGAGGCTATTTGCCTTGGACCTCTTCATGGCATCTGAGCTAAAATGATACGTGACATTGGCTACCTTATATATGGTCTCGCCTCGACCAAGTAGGATGATGGTGTAGAGAGTGGGATTGTTAGCTTACTAGCTAGCTACCACGTGGTGGTGGTCTGAAGCCTCATCATAAGGGGCCTAACAATTACAATATCAAGTTCTTGGTATTAAATTAGACACAGTCGAGAAAAATAAGAAATAAACATTTTCCGATATTTCATAATTATGTTTATATATAATTTAAGGAAAACCTGGCCACCTCAAATCTCGACAATGCCATGTCCCAAC